CGACGGCGGCGGGCTGGGGCGTCTCGGAGGGGCTAGAGGGTGGGAGCGGAGCCATCACTCGAGAGGAGTTTCAAAATGCAGATTCTTCATTTTTCTCATTTCCTTCATGACGATAAATTGTCCTCTTCACTTTTCAATCATACTATCCCACATCTCATATGTGAAAGAAGACATAGTTTATCTGTGTCAGCAGCACGGATCATAGAATAAATAGGCTCGCTAAAGTCAAGGATATACTGTACTTTATCCCACCACAAATCATTAAGAACTTTCTCTGTCACAAACTGTGCTCTGCCTGGATTCTATAATCAGACCACTCAGAACCATTAAAGTAAGAGCTTCCCTGATCTTATGGAATCTCTTCAACATCACAATTATAGAAGCAAATCTTGTTTCAGCAAGAGAAAGAAGTTTCAACTTGCTGAACTCACTAAACATAGATAACCTCATGGAGTGATTCATTATGAAGTTGTTTATCATATTGCCATCTGCTGCAACATCACTGATCCATTGCAATGTTCATACTGAGAGTCTTCCTCAATCTTGGCCGCAGCTATGTTCTTCAACGCAACATTCAAAATATGGACGACGCATGGGGTCCAGAAAAGAACTTCTGCTCCACCAGCAGCCCCTCTGCTCTGCAGTTGGGTGCATTATCAGTGACCGCTTGTACAACATTAGCAGCTCCAATAAAGTCAATGGTTTCCAACATCTTTTAATAGATGTACTCCTTGGTCTTTACTTCTCCCTCGGTGTTGATTGCTCTTAAAAACATGGGTCCATCTTCTGTCACACCCAAGAAATTTAAGAGGGGCCGTCTTTGGGGACCGGACCACCATCTGATACAATAGTCACACCTTTGCTTTTCTAAAAAAAAAGTCACACCTTTGCTGTTCTATGTTGTCTTGATGGGCTGCTCAACATGTGTCTTCTCTTGCACAAGAAGGGCGTTCTGTAGCTTAGAGGGGCATAGCCATCCAAATTGTTGTTGGAAGCAAACATTAAAGCCTTCCTAAACCAAGGGTTTCTTGCAACATTGGAAGACAGGCCTGGAAATAAAATAATAAGTAAGTGACCAAAGCATCCTAGCAAATGGTTAATTAAACATTGAAAATGGTAAATTGCTGAGCAGCAGTATAGAACATCCTAGCAATCAAAGCATCAAGCTTGCTGCTTCATTAGCCGATGACCCCCTTCTCTTCCTCCCACTCATGCCATCAGTTGCAGTTGGCAGCATAATATTTTCAGGCATGTTAGCAGCCATTTCTTTAGTCCTGTCATGTCCACCTTTGAGCTGAATTAGAACATAAACATTCACCTTTGGACATGCTGACATGGCTCGACACCATAATTTGGCCACTTCGTAGGATGTGCTTTCACTCTTGAGTAGCTCCCATTAACTTCACTCTTACAAACGGGAATGTACCAAACGATGAACCGGCTGAAAGCCAGCTTCTCGAAACGGCAGATCACGGAGTTCGTCAATTTTACATCGGGAATGCCACTTCCAAGCTACATACCGGTTCGTATCAGGCACAAAGGAAAAAAAAGAACAACCCCATCCCCTTGAGCTCGCATGATAGGCCTATCTGTAACCCTGGCCGCAGCACGCCGTACCACACCGCGCCCTAGTCGCCCTTCCCCAACTTCACGCCTCCCCCGATGTCGTGCCGCCGTTTCGCCCGAAGCTCCTGGTCCGCCGAGTCTCGAGCTCCGAGCTCACCTCCATCCCCTGCCTGCAGCCCATGGCTCTGCCACCTCCGAAATTGGCTAGAGGCCTGGCTGGCTGCGCACCGAATGGGCCGGCCTGCCACCTTCCTGGGCTGTCGGCCCATGTAAAAAACAGAAGCCAGATTGATCGCATGGAACGGTTTTCTCAGCATTGCTTTGGCCTGCAGAAGCGGCAAGTTGGAGATTATGGGAAGCTGTAGGAGGTCTTCTCGATCTTCTAAGCATACCTCCTTGGCTACATATGGGCCCAAAGCCTACATATGAACTTTGTATTCCCTCCTTGGCTTTGTACAGTCTTCTCGATCTTCTAAGCATACCTCCAGAGCGGTGACTGAGCATCCTCATTTGGAGGAATCACACGAGCAGCATTCAAAATTTGAACTGCGCTTAGTCCTCCACTGCCTGCATTGGAGTTTGAGCTTCCAGTTCCAATCGCAGAACCCGAACCACTGCCGGTGCTCTGCTGACCTTAAGAGGGGAAGAAGCAAAAGTAAGCAGAGTGCAGCAACTCAGAGAAGGGGGAAGGGGAAACTGACCTGGCTGGCAGAGGGAGCTGCGGCCGCACACAGACCGATCCGTGCTCAGACCGAGCGATGGAGCAGCAGTGCTGTTTGTTCAACCATTCCCCCTCCCAACCCCCACCCCACCCTACCCCCAAACGGCGCTTCATGTCTTCAGGGTTGTCTGCTTTCTGGTGATGGATACATTTCCACATATTTTTAACATATGTCACGAAAGCACATCTTTTTAATTTTGTTTTGTTTTCAAGAAACAGATTCCACTTGATAACTGGCCAATTTTGTGGTATTGTCTTTTGAATTTTATCTTAGCTCTTCAACTTGCAAAACTAACGTGGATACCACCTCTTGCAGAAGGCTCTCCTTCGTAGGATAGCTGAGGCGGGACAACAAAGCGAGCTGGATGCACGAGTTTCAATATGGACACAGCGGATCGAGCATGCCTTGGAAGAGCAGGTTTGGCTGTAGTGTTAAAGCTGCCAGCTTTCTCTGCACATAAACTTTCTCCACACTCATCACTGCTACAATTCATACCTTATCCAGGATAGAAGTCCACCGTTCGATGTCGGTTTATACGGGGAGCAAATCCTTGACACACTCTCATCAAGAACCGACACAGGGACCGCATCGTTCAGTCAGATTGTTAGCGGCAAACCAAAGTACGAGGTTGCTAGAACGTTCTCCGCCCTTCTCCAGTTGGTAACCACCACCCCTTTATCCTCCCAATCGCATTTTGGCGTGGCTCCAAACATTTCTGACCTTGGTATTCTTATTTCAGGTGAACGGCAGATGCGTTGATCTAGACAAAGGACAGGTCATGAACGAATTGGTGTGTTACACGGCTGCCAACCCGTTCCATGTAAAGCTGATTGGTCCCAACCGTAGGCCAGAGATGGAGGCATGTTTCACGCGCAAGAGGGTCAAGTCCCCTGAACGACGAAGTTGTGATGAAGGGGGCGAGCCGTCTCAGGTGCAACTGAAGAAGAATGCGCCTAAGAATGGCAAGGTCTCTTCGGTTAAGGTCGCAGCGAGGTTGACCCCTGAAGGAAAACGGAGGCGAAGGTCTGGTCCGCTGCTGCAGCCATTCAGTCTGGAGTCCAGCTGACTGAGCCAAATGAATGGCAGACTGACCCTTGAGAGCATTAGTTAGTAGCAGTATAGTTTTTCTCTTGTGGCTTTTTTCTCCTCTGCTGAGGGAGGGGCTGAGTAGTGAGTAGGGTTTATAAGTTATGAATGGATTAGGGCTTAGCTAGAGTGGTAGATGGTCGGTGTATATATCCAATAGATCACTGATTTGTGCCGTTATGTATATATGTTTGTTATCGATCCAAATGTCTAATAAGTCAGTAATTGGCACCTGATATGTGTCTGATGAAAAACATTAAGCTGCATCCAGGTTTTTATGATCACTCTTCGTGTGTTCTTATTTTGTAATTTGTACTGTAATGAGCGCTGCTTCCCATCAAGTTTGAGAAGGTGCAAGTAAGGAAAAACAAGAGATTGAGAATCTGAAAAATCAAAGCCCGTGCTTCATTGTTTCATAATATGACCCAACTGCAAGTTCTCCTCTGGTCAATAGTCGTCGACAATCGCGAAATGACACCAGGGGAAGCAATGCAACGAATGAAAAGTAGGCAGAATTGACTGGAGCGGAGTAGCACTACATCACATTCTTTGTCTTTCCAATCAAAACACACATGAAGCTGATGCTCTGGATATTTGGATCGAGATAAAATCTCAGTTTTTTTTTTGAGTGCAGTATAAAATCTCAGCACAGCCCGGCCCACCCACTAACAAGCAGCCCAGCCCAAGACACTTCCACGCCTCGAGAAAATAGGCCCAATCCGTTTCCCCTTCCAACCCCCTTCTCGTCTCTGACCTCCATTTCCCGGGGACACCCGTTCCGTTCCGATCCCAAACACCCACCGCCACCGGTGGCAGATCTGGATCGGAGCCCCGCTCCGGCGACCCCCGATCCCCCCGACGCCGACATGGAGGTCATCCCAGCCGCGGCGGCAGCGCACGACGGGCAGAAGCAGAGGTTCGACCTCGGGGTCTTCGTCGGCGACCTCCCCCTGGACGACGACGACGCGGCCAGGTCCGTCCGTCCGGCCACCAGCTCCTCCCCCCTCCCCCCTTGCAACAACATCTCCTCTCCTCCTTCACGCGCTCTCTGCGCCTAAGCTTATGCTCGGTGGTTTGTCTGGCAGTGACAATGAGTCGCTGGAGGGGCTGCAGCAGGAGCTCGAGGACTGCAAGAACGACCAGGTGCTTATTTACAGTACCATTCTTGCGTTAATCAGTAGCTTACCAAGGCCTTCTCAAAAGCTCGAGGGTTTTCCTCATCCTGCTATGTTTTATTTCTGTAACATTTCGGAGCAAGAACAGTAGGCCATTCTTCTTCCTTGGACGATTTCTGCTGCTTTAAATTTTCCTGCATGCCTGCAGGAAGTAGCAAACATCCTGGCTAATGGCATCAAGATGCGTGATTACACAAAAGGTGTCGAGAACAGCATACGCCAAGTTGAGCTGGATTCTATACAGGTAATTGCTTGTGCTAGGCCTCAGATATGCGAAGCAGCCATGGCTCTACTGCCTTAGAGCTGTTTTTTTCCCTATGAGTCCAATGTGAACCTGATGCTTAGCAGTAAACAGTCAACACATCTGGTATTGTGGTCCTTATACTTTGGAAATAAGAGTTAATTAACTTCTTTCGTATGGCTGGCTAATTTATTCATCCCTCCATTCTTATCATCAGTATTAAGTTGAGTCATCAAATAATTGCACAGGCGCGATGAATTATTTGGAAAACATGGAGTTATGATGGGTCTACCTTCTATTAGTGCTGTGCTGCCTAAATGTAAATTACCCGTGCCTATGATGTTTTTCTTATGCAATGCCGTCTTCCTTTTTCTTTTGTAGGATTACATTACAGAAAGTGAAAACCTAGTGTTGCTGCATGATCAGATCTCTGACTGCGATAATATTCTGTCACAAATGGAAACCGTTCTAACTGGATTCCAGGTAATTGCATATTCACATCTGTTGTGACGGCACTACTCATGACATTCTTGTCGTACTGGATGCCTGAAAGAGTTTCTGGATGGGTATTGCTTGTCATGAACAAATGCTGCCCACTGTGAAGTGTGAACTACCATCCAGAAATGGCATATCTCTGCATTTCCAACTCATCCTTTTACATAGCATAACATGAACAAAGCCAGGAGTGGTTGGAAGTTTAACGTTTTGTATACCACAATCTAAGCTTAATACAAGTGGTCTATTATTTTATTTATGTGCTCCATGCTACAACTCCATGGTCGTATTTGAGTGGCACCATTTTGTTTGACTTATTAGGCGTTCATATTTATTATCTAGATCTACATGTAATTTTGTACCTTTAAACAGTAGTTAACTGGTTCATTTCATGTTACTAAATCATATTGCAATTCTTTTAATTTCTGTGCTAGACAGAAATTGGTTCTATAAGTTCAGAGATAAAGGTACTTCAGGAGAAATCTATGGACATGGGATTAAAGTTGAGAAACCGTAAGGTTTGATTCGTTTCTCTGCTGTATCTTTTATGTTCTCCATACATTTGGTGTTTGGTTAATTTTTGTACCCACATCTTATAACCAGGCAGTAAAATACTGATGCATTGACCTCACTAGTCTTTATCAAGTTAGAGCTTGGAAGTACTATTTTATGTATCTTTGTCCCGCAACATAACTTCTATTCCATAACACACCTTTCAACATTAGTTGACTGGTCTTTGTTGGAACCTATCCATTATATTCATAACTTCAATGCATGTCATTCCCTACTTTTTCATGCTGAATATCTATGCTAATTCACTGTTTGGAAAATTTCTGCAGGCTGCAGAATCAAAACTGTCAAAATTTGTTGAGGATATAATAGTACCTCCAAGAATGATTGATATAATTGTTGATGGAGAGGTCATTACTTGCATTCTATCTTCATACCAACTTTCTTTACCTTATTATTGTGTCTATACTATGTCCATTTACTTTAATATACCATACAGTTAGTCAGTTACTCCTTTCTGGACCTAGTACCTCTTTGTTTACAGCCAGGAACATGTGATCACTGATTACTTCTTTCTGAAGTTAAAACCAAGTACATACTTTTCTGTTATTTGTGGTACTCCCTCCGATCCATATTAATTGTCGCAGCTTTGTACTAAAGCTGCAACAATTACTATGGATCGGAGGGAGTACTATGTTTACTTATGTAATTTCTTCTCTTTCAGCATGTTGTTAATTATTTATTTCATTTGCCACTATATTCTGTCTTCGGTGATATATCCATTCTGATTACATGTTTTCGTTCTGGATGCATTCATTTGTTCAATCCATGTCTTCTTTTCCAAATTATTTTATTTTGTTTGATTGGATATATTACATGCCACAAAGGTTTCTTTGTTGATGTACCATCATTATCAGTACCGCTCTCTTGCGGTTAAAGCTGTTCAGTAAAATATTCTTTGGTGGGTGTTTCTCAAAAAATGTATTTTTTATGGGATCACTGATAATTCCTTATCCAACAACCCCACAGGTTAACGATGAATACATGAAAACACTTGAGATTCTAAGCAAAAAAATCAAATTCATTGAAGCCGATTCGATGGTTAAAACATCAAAGGCTCTCAAAGATGTTCAGCCTGAGGTTGAGAGACTTCGGCAGAAAGCAGTATCAAAGGTCTGAAAACTGTTTGCTGGTTTTTTCTTTCTAATGTTTCAAACTATTATGTTCATAAGAATGTTAGTAGATCGTCTTCCTGTATGCGTAGCATGTGTTTCATCTGCATATGTGCTTATTTGATGTAAAACATTATGTCCTCTATGTTTAATGTTCTAATGCGGAGTCGAGGATAATGTGCCATGCCTCTCGCTTGCATAATTATGTTCAGACAGTTGGGCATGTGCTACAATAATTTAGATTAAGGCGTCAAGGATTATCTGCTAGAACTGAATGCTTATTATGAAAAAGGGTTACATGATATTCATCATTATTGTTCAGGCTGATGTTGTGCTTTATGAGGTTGATGGCATAAAAAATGCTGCAACTGTGTCAAATACTAGTGGAGAATAATGTTGTCAGCCACTGCCAGTATACTAGCTATACTGGTTGCTATTTCCTTACAAAATAAGGAATCAACCTGATCTTTGTTAGCTTGCCCTAATATGGTACGGTGGTTTTCATGGAAGCTATGAACAAGTGTACCTGCAACCAACAAATGCATCCGCTATGTTTCTTGCGCGCTTTTTTATGTTTATCTAGCCAATTTGACATCATAAAGCTACAACAGAGTTCTATTGCTTATGCTTTCATAATTTTCTTGCAGATTTTTGAGTTTATTATCCAAAAGTTCTATGCCTTGAGAAAACCAAAAACAAACATTCAGATTCTACAGCAGAGTGTCCTTAAATACAAGTATGCCAACTCTCTTGCCTTGATATTTGTTTTCCACTTTTAACCCCTGTTTGTAGAATATCTGCAGTGCTTCACATTTTAATGTGCTAGATGAGAAATTCTTTATGCCATATTTCTTTAATTTGTAATCCTCACCAGTGGACATACAGGATTCATGGTTTTTGGCATAGTGTTACTGAGGGCAAGTTTACCAAACATGAACAGCCATATTTTATTAACTATTGCTAATGTAACATCAGTACTTCTAATGAAATTGATGACTTCGGCATTATCGTCTTTATGAAATTGAGAGCCCCCTTGGTAAAAAAAAAACCAGAAAACTAGAATTATATAAGCCTTCACTAGACAATCTGTGGTGAGCTTCAAGAGTTGAATTGGGACCATAGGAGTCCTAGTTGAGTCAGGGAATTGAGTCCTAGTGACGCAAGTATGAGAGTCCATGTCCCAGTTGGCTGGGCTATCGAGTCTGAGTGGTATTCCTGTTGACGGGAAAGACTATTATAAAGGTCCACGAGCTTTAAACTATTGAACTATGCATATAGGAGAACAGTTATTTTACCTTGCTTTCCTCGGTGAGAGCTCTCCCTCTACCGCTCTTTAAAACCTTAGTTTATAGCATATGGTCATAGGATTAAATTGCCATTTTATTGTTGGTCGGCTTATCTGTAGTGTCTGTGTTATTCTCTCATTCTTTCCAAGTGCTCAATTTGTTTCATTTGTCTTCTCCACTGTAGATACACAATTGTTTTCCTCAAGGAACATGCTAAGGAGATATATGCAGAAGTTCGCACGGCTTACATTGATACTATGAATAAGGTGAGTGTTACTGTGAATGTGATTTGAATAGGTCTTCTTTCATTCATCCGCCTTTAGTTTTTTCTCCATTTAGAATTGGAATAGAATAACGGGAAGGGTAATGATCGTACACCTGTAACTCATTGTATGTCCCAGATTAGGTCCTATTCTTCTACCCTTTCGATTAGTCAATGGCTATGAACACTTACTATCTTAATCTGAAAGAAGAGTTTGACCAATGCTTTGTTTCTGTCTTGGTGGATCCCAATTCCACATTAAAACTATACTGATTCTTTCCCAATGAACATATACTTCTTTCTGTAAATACTGTGTTTAATATTCCATAATGATATGGCAATACTATATTTGATTTGTATATTTGTTGTATTATACCTTTATATATTCTAGATGTATAGAATAGTACCATACTATCAACGTAATATGTGGCCAAAATGTAGAGTTTATGGCTCAGCACTACATTGTACTCCCTCCTTTTCAATAACCGTCCTTGGCACTCGGCAGTCTACGTTTGTAATAACTATACATTGAGGGAATCAGTTGTGTTAGTGTAATGTTTTTGATGTGTTAAAAGAGATTAATTTGTTGCAGCCTGTCAATAATGAGGGTATGCATGCTCACTGGTCAGTTCTCATTAAGGCTGTGCACATGGTGGTGGGTTGGGGACATTTACTATGAAACAAATAGTGTGCTAGACATAGAGGGCTTGAGAATGAGAGTATCCAAAGACACATCTGTGTTGCAATTCCTGCTGTTTGTCTTTGCTTTATTCTAGTTTTTCTTATTGCTATGTGCAATTTCAGTTCCTACCTTTATATGTAGTGTATGTTGACATCTTCAAAATTCCTGCAAGGATTATTTTAGACTGCTAGCTACTGTGATAAGGTTCATATCTTATTTGGGCTATACGAGCAAATATAGACATAAAGACCTTCATTTATTTCTTGGATATCTTACCGTGAATTATATCTATTCTGATAACATTTCTACTATCACTTCCAATTTTCAGGTTCTGAGTGCACATTTTCGTGCCTATATACAAGCTTTAGAGAAATTACAGCTGGATATAGCAACCTCCACTGACTTACTTGGAGTTGAAACTAGAAGTACAGGATACCTTTTCTCCATTGGAAAGGAACCTCTGAAAGCCCGTTCTTCGGTGTTTGCTCTTGGTGAAAGAATAAACGTCTTAAAGGTATTTACTAATGACATAGTGACTATAATGTAATTTAATTCATCAATCAGTTCATGATTTTGAAATTTGTGACTCAAGCAATACATGGGAGCCCGGATCTGTACTGGGCTGTGTGATCTGCAGGGTTGTTGGTAACTTGTATGAATTTCTGTAACACCAACAAGTTATATTTGAATGATAACAAAAACAAGCCACATAAGTCTAGCATACACCATGAGCATAGCTGATTAGTTGATTCATGACATACATACAGAATAAGTATGGCTAATTTCGAGACAAGTCTCTGAACAAATTCGAGGACATGCTTTTTTCTAGTCTATGTATACACTAAAAAATCTAGCCAATTAAATGAAATTTCTTTGCCATGTGCCAGAACCATGAGTTGGTTGCGAGATCTTATGGTTTCACCTCCAGCCTACCCCAACTTGTTTGGGACTAAAGGCTTGGTTGTTGTTGTCTTTGCCATGTTCATTCTCTTGTTGCAAATTTCATAGAACCAGATCTAGGTTATTTTAACATGCTGTAATGCCTCTACTAGTTGTTGAAAATTTGGTGGAAAGTGATCCACAATTAAAGAATTAATTTTGAACTAACTCCTTACTGTTGCTGAATGATTAATTTACTCTATATCAAGTAACAAGTTCAATGGTGTAATTTCTGTTTGCCCTGCTTTTGGTATATCAGGATATTGAGCAGCCTGCATTGATACCTCATATATCTGAAGCCAAGTCACAGAAGTATCCATATGAAGTTCTTTTCAGAAGCTTACAAAAACTTCTGATTGATACAGCTACTTCTGAGTAAGATTGTTATTTCCTTGTTTTAAAATTCATACAGTGAATCAGTGGCAGCCTGATGATATATCAACTGGCTACAGGTACCTTTTCTCGGATGATTTCTTTGGTGAAGAATCTTTATTCCAAGATATATTTGCTGGTTTGTTCCATCCTGTACTTGCATTTCCTGTTTTCTTTGTCATACCATGTTG